CTGATTATGTGACTTATCTGTATTGCTGATGATGTGACTTATCTGTACTGCTGATTATGTGACTTATTTGTGCTGCTGATTATGTGACTTATTTGTGCTGCTGATTATGCAACTTATCTGCGCTGCTGATTATGTGACTTATATGTGCTACTGGTTATGAGACTTAACTGTGCTGCTGACTATGTGACTTATCTGTGCTGCTGCTGATGTGACTTATCTGTACTGCTGCCGATTATGTGACTTATATGTACTGCTGCCGATTATGTGACTTATATGTACTGCTGATTATGTGACTTATCTGTGATGCTGATTATATGACTTATCTGTACTGCTGCCGATTATGTGACTTATATGTACTGCTGATTATGTGACTTATCTGTGCTGCTGATTATATGACTTATCTGTGATGCTGATTATATGACTTATCTGTACTGCTGATTATGTGACTTATCTGTGCTGCTGATTATGTGACTTATTTGTGCTGCTGATTATGCGACTTATCTGTGCTGCTGATTATGTGACTTATCTGTGCTGCTTATTATGCGACTTATCTGTGATGCTGATTATATAACTTATCTGTACTGCTGATTATGTGACTTATCTGTGCTGCTGATGATGTGACTTATTTGTGCTGCTGATTATGTGACTTAGCTGTGCTGCTGATTATGTGACTTATCTGTGCTACTGAGTATCCTTGCTGCTGATCCCATGCTGCTGCTGATCTCATGCTGCTGTATTCATTCATACGTATCTGCTCACCAAAGACTCATGTTCGGGCTGCTGTTGTTACACCATATTGCTTTACATTATTAGTGTTTAGTGGATATCGTAGATCTTTTAGAGTACTGTTTGGTGTTTGTTTAGTCTATACAGTATCTTAGTGTAAATCTTAGATCCTTATTGACTGTTTATTTTTATACTTTATATTTTGTTATTTCTGGGTGTAACTGAGACCCTGTGTACATAATTTTGTTCATGTGCCACATGTAGTGGAAACGACAATAAACTTGGACTTGAGATTGTTTTTTATGCTTCATTGTCACATATTTGTCCTTTTGGCTTTTAAATTGTGTTTTTCTGTTGTCTTTTTAGTTTTTGGACAGATGTTTAGCTTCTTTTAGTTTTAAAAATTCAGCTTCAGCTTTTCTTCAGTAAACTTCAGGGAATTCCTTCCAGACAGAGGTGTGCCATCCTGGTCCTCGAACGCCACTAACCTGCATGTTTTAGACGTTTCTCTGCTTTGACTCACATCATTTCAGTTAGTTTGGTGATAAACAAGCGTCTGTAGAGCCTGCAGAGCATGCAGGGAAACTACTGAACCATGCAGGACTGTGGCCCTGGAGGACCAGGACTGTGCACCATAGATGTTCAGAAGAGCATCCGGACTTCTCACTGGTGCTCGCTTTAGAAAAACCTCTGCATTTTACTGATTTTTGTGCTTTTGTTACTAAATCTGAACCGAGTTGGGACCAAAACATCAGGAAGTGTTCTGGCTGGGTTTGATTTTGCTCTTCCACTTTACAGATCCATAAGTTTTTAATTTGTTTTTCTTATATTTAGCTCAGAAGCTCAAAGTGATTCTGAATATTTTAGATCCAAATCAGATTAGTTCACAAACATGTCCTAGATAAATAATAATTTATTGAATGTGGATGAAATTCAGCTGCTCAGAGAGTTACTCGTTACATATCCTGACCAAACGAATGACCTCCTGGATGCCTTTGGGTCGCGTTCTCTTTTTCCTCTCTGTGGCAGGATGTCTGTACCCCGCAGAGCCAACATGCAGACAAGCTGCTAAGAAACACGTTAAATATCGCTTCGCTTGGCAGGCAGATGCAAAATAACTCTAAACTGCTGCTTTAAACATCAAGATGTTTGAAGGCAACAGAAACGAATGGCAGTCATTTACACAAAGGGTCATAACTTAGTGAAAAATTGATCCCAGAGTTTTACTGCTTGACTGATCGATTCTTTGTCCTGTTATGGCTCTACTTAAGGCTGAGCGCGGTAAGTGATCCGTGCTGTGTGATGATATCAGTCCCACATGCAGATGAATGAGTCAGACTGGTAGTGACATCAAACCAGCAGATGACCTGAGGTGAGTGTGTGAGCGTGTTTTACCGTCTGTAACCTGAGTTCAGAACAACACAGTGCTCTGTCACTGAGGTCATGAATCAGAGGGGGAATGTCCAACGTGGGGTGGTGGTGGGGGCGGGGGGCGGTGTTGATGCTGCCAGTTGTTGCATAAACCGCATGAAATGTACCGTTATAAAAATAAATCAACAGATGTTTGTCCTTTAAAAATTAGCTTTAAGAACAAATCTTTTAGGACCTCTCCTCTGAACCTGTTTTCTGTTTACACATTTATTTAGCCTCTGGGATCACAAGTGCTGGATTAAGAGATTATGAAGGTGATTGGCCATGAATCCAAGAATCAAGGGAATTTTCAGCCCAATTACTCTTTAAACCCCCACAGTTTGGTTTCCAGCTGTCAGGGGACGAGCCACGGATGAGCTGGTGTCAGATGCCAACACTGACATGACAACACGAAGCAGGAATAGAATCAGGGCGTCTATATAAGCCGTGGACAGACCCGAGCCCAGACAGAGGCAGAGGATCCGTCCAGCCACAGCCGAAGCATCCTTCAGACCAAACTTTCTCCAACACTAAACCAGTTTCAGGAACCAGAGAGGGAAGATGCCTGTCTGCAGCATGGTGGAGAAGAGTAACGGCGTGGTTGTGGGTGCAAAGCTGACCTGCAGCGTCCGGGAGGAGAACAAGACGAAGAAGGAGAGCTACAGCGCTGATTGGAACAGTGTTGGTCTGAAAACCCAACCTCAGGACAGGTGAGACATGCCACGCGTTCTGCTTTAAATATTATATGTAGACGGTGCTGACGTTTCTGACCTGAACATTTTCCTGTCGTCCTCAGACAAACTATGAGCATGAACGATGACTCTCGTAGAGAGACCCTGTCCCGGCAGTGGCAGTGCCGCTCCCTGATCCAGACCTGTCCCTCTGGGGTCTTCAGGGTGGGTACTGTGGAAAGAGGGGTGAGGGAGCACCAGCTGCTGCCCAAGAGACACACCCTCCCCTTGCCCATCTTCACCCCAGCAGAGCTGGGCGTCCGACTCGGGCGCGGGGCCCCCCACACAGAGCAGGACCTGCAGCCCTTCCCCACACCCGACGGCGTCTGTCCCAGCAAGAGGTCCGTGGACGAGATCACCAGAGACCTGCCGCCCGTCAAGCCCGTCCTCCTGGAGTTCGCCAAAGCGCCCAAAGCCCTGGGTCGCTCCGTGTCTCAGGAAGCCCAGAGAGGCTGAACGAAAGATCAGCTGAGGAGAGGCTCGACGGGAAAGAGCAGAAGTGTCAACGTGTACATATGTAGACTCAACTCTAGTGGCGTTCATCAGAAATGTAGACCTTTAGCACCAACGACGTGTCACGTTTTTAACATCGGCATTTCATGTGTTTGTAGAAGGGTGCACTGTGACAGAGAAGGGGGGATTTTCAGCCGCCATGTTTGCTGGTATCTTCTTGTGACGCGTGCACTAACGCACTTTTATTTTGAAAAGTGCAAACGGAAAGAAAGGATTCATTGATCAAGTCTTTGACGGTAACAGACGGGTAAATTAGAGACACTTAACTGTGTGTGAAGGAGTGGAAACAGGTGAAGGAAGGTCAGAGGAAGTGTGAAGGGGGGAGCAGGGTTGGGGTCGGGTGGGGGTGGGGGGTGGAGGTGTTGGTTCCCCTCCAGGACTCCAGGAGCCTCTGCCAGCTTCTGATCTGTGTGGAGAGAACAGAATGCGCTGGCATTGTCACCACACACTGTTGATGTACATAGGAGTGTGTGTGTGTGTGTGTGTGTGTGTGGACAGTCAGTGACCTAAACTGACCTACAGCAACACACACACACACACACACACACTTGTTTACCGTGCATTAACTTATTGTTAGATGAGTAGCTCTTTGTTTTTCTGACAGCAGACACTGTTAGGAGTTCCAGCGTGTTGAAATGTGTGTTTTTTTCTTAGAAATGTTATTTTTGCTAATAAAAGTTTAATACTCACCTTTTCTCGGTCTACAGGTTGATCACTGTTTAATAATCTTTTACTGCCTGACCTGATCAGATGTTAGAGATGATTTAACATGTGAGATAAATGCAGTGGTTCCCAAACGTTTTAGCTTCGGACCCACCCGGGTCTCCACCCGGGCCTTCAGTGGATTAAGCCAAGTGCTTTGTTTACATCGAGTGCATACCCACATTTCAGAACTGCACATCACATCTGAAACACTGGTCACACTGCACCATTGAAATAGCTCAAGATAACTTTTTTAAACTCTGGTAGGAGTTTTATTTTAAAATTTGTTTGATTTATGGAGATCGTTGCAGGATCACAAAATAGATTTATGTCCCACAGTTGGATCCACTGAGCTACAGGATTTATTTGTTAACCTTTTATTGAACCATGAAAATCCCATTGAGATCCTCGAGCTCTTTTGCAAAGGTAGGCCAGGCCTGAAGGCAGCCTAACGTGCACGTGTTTCTGGACTGTGGGAGGAAACCGTGCAAACTTCACACAGAAAGAGCTCAGGTCTAAACCGGGATCGAACCCTGGACCTTCTTGTTGTGAGGCAACAGTGCTAACCACTAAACCAGCATGCTGCTAATCTGCAACAGCAATAGTTATAAAGGAAAAATAAATAAATAGAGATTTTTATTTACTAATTTGTTTGTTCGTGGTTTCAATAACTAATTTTTAAAGACTGTTGTTAAAAAGAACCCAAACAAAAACTGTCGACGAGATGAACTTTAAGCTTGAAGCAAAGACTGACAGACCTTTCATGTTGATGTAAATGTGTGAATTAAAGAAGGTCCAATCCACAAACGGCGTCGAGGAAAAGTTTATTCCTCAGTTTGGGAACTGAAAAATGACAACGAGCAGAAAAGAAACACAAAATCTCGTTCTCTGAGAAAACTTTTCAAAGTCTCGTAGTTGAATTATTTGCTCAGAGCTGCGGTCTTTTCATCGTCAAAAGGCACAGTGATGCGTTTTTTACACCGTTAACCATCCACACGATCACATTTGGACGAGAAGCTAAGGTGCAGGAGCCACGATGACGATTTATAGGCTGGGACCAATGAGACGATGGGAGACAGCTGTGACGGAGAAAACAGGGAGCAGGTGGGCGTGGGCGTGGCAGGCTCAATGGAAAAGTACTGGAGCAGACTGATGGCACAGAGGAAAACAGGGAACTGGAGAAATGACAAAGAATCACAAACAATAACCAGTCCTAAAAATAAAACAGAAAAAACCAGAAACTAACAAATTAAAACACCAGTCCTGACAACTTCAGTCGATGCAGCTGGAACAATTCAACCCTTTCAACACCGGTGTTTTCTGAAAGCAACAGAAGAACAATAATTCAAAAACTCTTAAACAATATTATATCTTTTGCAACGCTCGGACTCCTAACTGTTTAACTAAAACTTTATAGACAGAACTTATTGAGGGGCTTATTAAAATACTTGAATCATCCTAAGAAGTATGTTCTTAAAATAACATAAAGTGCTTTCCTTGAGTTTAATATAATAAGGAAATTTCACACAATAAATAAAAGAGATGCTAAGAATAAAAGATAAAGCTGCTCAGCTTCTTCTCCTCCACCATAACCCTCAGCACTGGCTCCCCTCAGGGATGTGTGTTGAGCCTCCTCCTGTTCACTCTGCTCACGTATGACTGTGCGCCTACCCATCCAGGCTGTCACATTGTAAAGTTTGCAGATGATACGGTGGTAGTAGGATGCATCACAAGCAAGGATGAGTCCAGCTACAGGCAGGAGGTGGAACACATGAAGAGCTGGTGCAAAGAGAACAACCTTCACATCAATGTGAAGAAGACAAAGGAGATGATTGTGGACTTCAGAAGGAGCAAACACACTTACACCCTTTGCAGAGAGTGGTGAAGGCTGCACAGAAGATGTTGGAGTCAGTCTCCCACCATCACAGACATCTACACCTCCAGATGCAGGAAGAGGGCCACCTGCATCATGAACTACCCCACTCACCCAGCACACACACTTTTTGCCCCACTCCCCAAAGGCAGGAGGTTGAGGAGCATTAAGCGTAGAACCACTAGACTGAGGAACAGCTTCTACCCTGCGGCTGTTAGACTCATGAATCTCCAACCAGAATAATCACTGTGATGACACTTTGATTGGAGATTTGACACTTCATGCTGCTGATTTCTGACCCATAAGCTGCTGTATTCATACCCATCTGCTCACAGCAGACTCATGTTCAGGCTGCTGTTTAATACACCATATATTATATTATGTTATTATTGTTCAGTGTATATCTTAGATCCTTGGATAATGTTTCTTTTTATACTTTATATATTTGCTATTTTTGGTGCAACTGGGACCTTAAGTACACAATTCCGTTCCACTTCATGTTGTTGGTTTCACGGATGTCTGATGAGTGACTTAAATGAGCTCATTTTCTTCCGTAATGTTAAATAGTTTCTGTCACATGTCAGTTCTTGCCTATGGGCCTTCAGGTGACGTCTAATGAAACTTCATTTCCTCTTCTGGATGGATTCATTTGTCTTTTTATCCTCCTCTGACTCATTGCTCTTGTTGTCTCCTTGTGACAGGGGATGTGCGCTGGTTTGATTTGATAATAATAGCTGGGTAAACATCAGAATCACCCTGGAGACAGCCATATCACCCCACTCCACCCGCTGGAGCTCTTAATCCTAGTGTTTTATCAGAGCTCGCTGCCTTCACTCCCATATTTTCAAAACTCCCCTCCCACACTGCTGCTGAAGCACTGTGCCTCCCACCCCGTACTGTGAGTACAGTCCACTCTTCAAACTGCAAATCAGCCTTCGAACACTGAAACTGTTTATGCCAGGGAATGCTGGGATGAGACGGGATGTTTTATCACAGACTAAATGACGCTGGAGTTCTTTCCTTTGCAGCAACATGTCTGATGACATGTCCGAGAAGACCTCACTCAGAAGTTTAACCAACTCACTGCTGCTCTGACTTCTGACCCTTTGTAAGGAAACTCATGAAAGTGTTTAAGATCAAACCAGCCGCACAGAAGAAACTTGACGTGCTGTTAGACTGAAGAAACATGGTCTGTCATTTCACTGTTATGCTGATGATGGTCAGATTTATCTGCCCGTAAACCCAATAGTTCTTGCTCCATTCACCCTCTGTTAAAATTTATTGATGACATTAAGGCTTGGATTCAACGTTTTTAAGTTTTAATGATCAGAAGTGATTGCGTTTAACCCTAGCTCTTCTGCTGTTCCTCTTCCTGTAAACCTTGACTCTCTTGAGACATATCTTAAGCAGTCTGTTACAAATCTCAGGATGATTTTAGCCTCTGATTTTCTGTTCTGCCAAAACGCTTCTTCCAGTTAAGGCAGATATCTAAGTCTGTGATGACCAGATCTGACTTTGAAAAATTAGTCCATGCCTTCATTCCAACCCAACTTAATTATATTGGGGTCAGTCAGGTCCCCCTTTCACGTCTCCAGCTCATCCAAAATGCTGCAGCTCCGCTCTTAACAGGAATTCATAGGTTTTCTCATGTTTCACCAGTTTTGTCCTCCCTTCACTGGCTCCCTGTACATGTCAGAATAGATTTTAAAATTCTCCTGTTGACCTTTACGTGCCTAAATGACCTTGAAACCTCATATCTCTCTGACCTACTTCAACCATATGTTTTTTCAATCTTCACGGGCACTGAGATCATCTGATCAGTTTCTTTTGGTTGAAGCTCAGAGGAGATCCGGCTTTTTCAGTCACGACCCCTAAACTTTGGAACAACCCCCCCCCCCCCCCCCCCCCAACATTAGACAGGCCACTTCACTTCCTGTTTTTAAATCTCTTTTAAAAACACGCCTGTTTTCAATTACTTTTAATCCAGGATGAGTTGTTTTAATGTTTTATGTTTTATGCTGGGTTTTTTCATGCTTTAAAAATATTTTAATTTCTGCCATTTTCTTTTATTGTTCAGCACTTTGGTTAAAAAAAAAAATTGTTTTTAATTGTGCTTTATAAATAAATTTGATGGAGGCAGCACGGTGGCGCAACTGGTAGAGCTGCTGCCTCTCAGCGAGCAGGTCCCTGGTTCAAACCCCGGTCCAGGGGCCTTTCTGGGTGGAGTTTGCATGTTTTCTCCGTGCATGCGTGGGTTTTCTCCAGGTACTCCAGTTTCCTCCCACAGTCCAAAAACATGCATGTTAGGCTGATTGGTAACTCTAAATTGTCCCTAGGTGTGAGTGAGAGAGTGAATGGTTGTTTGTCTCGTTTGTCTCTATGTGTCCCTGTGATGGACTGGAGACCTGTCCAGGGTGTACCCCGCCCCTCGCACAGTGATTGCTGGACATGGGCACCAGCGACCCCCGTGACCCAAAATGGAATAAGCGGGTAAAGAAAATGGATGGATGAATGGATGAAATAAATTTGACTTGACTTGGACTCAGTGGCATCAGTAACAGTCTCTGCATGCTTCTTGTCGTCCAATGCCTTCCCACATTTAAAACCTGCTGCTGCCCCCCACTGGAGAGTTCAAGTATTGCACGTTAAACAGAGGACTGTTATCAAATAGGAGGGAAATTATATGTTTTTCTGTCTATCAGAATATAAATTTGGTGAATGAATTAAAAAGCATC